GAGAGAGAGAGAGAGAGAGAAAAAGTGAATATACCGTGTAAGGTTTATAAGCTTAGGTACCCAAACCCACCATAGTACCTTGTTTTTGTATCATATATGCAATCTGATCATCCAAAGTTCTTAAAATTAAACTCGTAACATCATTTATTTTCAATATTTTCAGAAATTTTATCATTATCTTTCTCTTACGTAGTTTTCATTTGCAACTATATATATATATATATATATATATATATATATATATATATATATATATATACACACACACACACACACACCGTAGTAGGTGTTTAGCAAAAAAATATGATGGAAGAGGAAGATAATGGTGAAATTTTAAAAATCCTGGAAGTAAATCAAGTTCGGAGTTTAATTTTAAGAACATTGGACGATTACAATGTATATATCACACAAAAACAACGTAGTATGATGGATTTAAGTATCTAAGTTTATATACCTTGTAGTATGGTATATTCACTTCTTGCGAGAATAGATTTTATTATCGTGAGATGGCCGCGAACATAAAGAAGTTTCACTTTCCAATTAGTGAGTCTAGCCATGAGCTTATCCACAACTTCTTTTGAAATCGATCTTCTAGTGATATTATAAACAATGGTAATCCAAGACACGTGAATGGAAAATGTAACACTGAAAAACCAATAAGATTAGCCAAGTGTTTTACCTCATGAGGCTCAAGTCAAGAAAAAAGTAATGAAGAATCTGTACAATGTTGGGTGTATTTAAAAAGGACAATTCACCATAAGAATTACATAATCCTTAAAAAAGAAATGAAATATTTTAATTTCCTCCAAGCCAAAAGTTGCACCACAAAAGAGTGAGTTTTGTTTTGCTACTTTAACTTTCATGTGCAATCATTTCATGGCAACAATGAACAAAAAGGGAGAAAGTGAAATACCTAATCGAAGACCCCGCTTAAGTTGAAACTCAAAGGTGGTAACCCATTAACCAAAGAAATCTCAAAAAATGGTTTTTTCTAGGTGTTTCTTCTCCTTTCAGTCGAGCTAAGCATAAAACTTTCCTTTTCTAGCCAAGAAAGGTTGTAGTGATCACTTTGTTTAGAGCCAAAAATGATGTCATGGATCTGACCTGTTATCTAGGATTCCTTCCCCACCGTTTATCACCAAACCCCAACTTTTGAACATATCGTCCAAATAACCCTAACACGCAGAGTCATGCGCCTTTTTAAAATCAAATTTGAAAACCAAAAAGTAGCTTGAAATGTTTTTTCATGACATGCTACATTCTTGTTCAACATTAGTGGCTTATTTAAAATTTGCCGACCTTTTATAAAGGTCGATTGCTCGAGGCTAACAATATCACTTATCATGTCATATAACCGCTTTGCTAGCAATTTTCGAATAATTCTATATTGATAACCAATGAGACTAATCGGTTTATTGTTATTTATTTCTTTAGTATTTTACACTTAAGGAAGAAGAGCAATAAAAGACACGTTGCATTTTTGTGGGTTAGTTTAAGTATGTTGAAAATGCAAAACTGCAGCCACTACATCATACTTGATTAGCTACCAATATGCATTCATAAATTTAGATGTAAATCCATCCGACCCGGGTATATCCTTACCATAACTCCAAACGACATGTCTAATTTCTACTCTAGTTAACATCTTGTCTAATTTATTTTCCAATTTAAACCCTCTCCAAAGGTTTAAAATTCCAAGGCATAATAATTTATAATTCACCTTTCACAAGCCTTTTTTGGAAACGGCGAAATATATTAAATAAAAAAGACCCACAATTAGCAAATAGCTAAAACGTAGGCTATCAAACAAGGTACATGTTACAAATTAAGATGGTTGAAAGGTGAACAATTCCAGTCAACCCAATTTAATTCCTAAATTATATAATTACACCAAACATAAGAATGTGTAATCACATTTACCTTAATTCTAGTAGGGGAGTTAAACACCTTCTTGTTTTTTGTCATCCAAATGTTCCAAACAAAACAATAAAAGATGACATTAACTATATTTCATTTACACGGACAATTGCCCCAATTAGTTTCGAAGTCAATGAAATCCATGACACTCGAGAAATGTCGAGAAGGGATATAGCACCAAAATCCACTCTATAGACTTAGCCGTTTGACATTTGATCAAAACATGATCCATATATTCTAAAGCAGCAACACAAAAGTTGCAATTAGAGACTCGAGAATTAATATCTCTACAGGACAAGGACAAGGTATCAGCCACTAGAATTCTACCCATCGTAGCTCTCCAAATAAAACGTCGGACCTTCAAAGGTTATCCATTACCCATCCACCATGACACCTTGGATTGCCACTTACCCATACTTTTTCTTCAAGATGACATGATATTTCATCGGGTACCCAGGGTAACCATATCCTTTTGGGGTAAGTCCATACGCTCGAAATTGTCAATACCCTCTTGTTTTTTAAGAGAAGAAACCTAATCAGCTACATCGTCTGTGGAGGCCATTCCACCGTCCCATTTAGTGTCATGGACTTTGATTTTAGCTTGAAGCTGGTTGCATATTTTGACTTTACTATACCAAATCCAAGCTCTTATAGTGCTATGAAAGACCTAGGCCACTTAGATATTTATTGGGGGTTTTCGTTACAAAACACAAACACTTAATACACCAAAGACATAAAAACAGAAAATTAAACGAGCCGATATATGACTTCTTGTAAACCATCAACTACACCCGTTGACATTGATTTAATGTTAAGTTCCATATATAGCCGGCGATCCATTTCCTTATCCCATATTTTGTCGATGCCTTGTTTGAGCCTTACCATATCTCACATTTACTTGCAGATGTTTCTTAATCGATGCAACATATTTGCATTTGTACGCATTATCCATGAACATCACCTATGATTGGCCTTAAACGCATCATATGTTACTTACAAGTTATGCTATCTTATGTATTACATTAATCCAAATCCACCTCCTCGAACCTCCTTTGCTACAACGATGTCGCTTTCTAGCTCTAGGAGAGGTGAGTTTTTACATGTACCATCACGGTACCACTTAGCTACTTAGCTGATGTCTTTACCAAAGGATTGCCATGGGTTCTTTTTAATGACTTCCATAATAGTCATAATCGTCTCACTATTCAACCGTCTCAAGTTTTGAATGAAGTTTCGAATGCATGGGACCATTAGACATATTTATCTAGCTTGGATTTATACATTTGTTATTTACAATTGTATTTATCATAAGTTTTGTTATTAGACTAGGATAACATCTTTCTATATACATGGTTATCCTCATGTAGTCTGTACATATTGAATGATTGTAATGCAACAAAACCAAGCATATTATTATTCTCTTTTACCTTCTACCGTCTATCTCTAGCATGTGTTTTGTGTTATATACGTCTAATCCTAACTATTTTCTTCTATTTATAAGTTTCATGTCTCCGATATTGTCAACTTTTGGTGACGGATTTGTACAGATTTATTATAACATGTATAATTAAAATTATGTGTTTATTTATTTATATATTCTATTAACTTTTTACTTAATATTCTCCTTTTGATTGGTTTCAAGATTTATTTGCACACATGTTGTCAGTTTTCAATATGTTTTTTGGTCATTTTGCAAGATTTTTCCTTCTTCCATACATTCAGGCTGCCATTGTTGGGTGATCAAGTGGATTTTGTTGTTTTACAAGTGGTTAATTGTAATTGTTTTAATGTTATAGGTTGGCACTTCTATTGGGTCCGCCATCTTCTGGTAAGACAACCCTTCTGTTGGCTTTGGCAGGAAGGCTGGATCACAGCTTAAAAGTTGATGGAGAGATAACTTACAATGGTCATAAGCTCAATGAATTTGAACCACGAAGGACAGCAGGATACATTAGCCAGAACGATATTCATGCTGGAGAAATGACCGTGAAAGAAACATTAGATTTCTCAGCAAGATGCCAGGGAATTGGATCTCGTTTAGGTAGCTTCCCTTTTGTTACTTAGATATGTTAACTATTAGCTTTCTCAGCAAGATGCCTACATTCCTCTCCAAAAGAGTCTTTAGAGAGAAAGTGAAATCCAACATTTATAGAGATAGATGGTACCATATATAGCCAGTGGGAGAGACTAACAGTTCCCGATATGAAGACTTAATTAAATTAGACTCGCTCTCATGCCATGTTTACATGTCAGAAAGTCTTGGATTTTCTCTCGAAAAACTACAAGAAATCAGGTCAATAGGGGCGACAAATATCGCAACTAAAGACCCGAAGCGCATCCAGTTTGATGTCGCTGCTATAGCTAGTATTTCTTGTAGTGAAAAGAGTCTTAATAAGAAAAAGGAAGAATTTCGTATATACCCTCCTTAAGCATTAGAATATCATATTTGACCAACCTCATTTCTAAATATCATATTACCCATCATAAACTGTTAAAGATCATCACTAGCCCAATAGAACAAATATTATCTAGAAGACTTTAGCTTGTTCTAGAACGCT